TTGGCAATACATTTCCTTTTTGTATCTATAGCATAGGTTGTGGGATTGAACAGGTTAAGTCTAGCTACGATTTCTTTATACAATAATAACTTGCAGAATCGTATATTCTATTGCAGAATCTGAATATAAATATTTGGAGGACACTGTCATTTTGAATACTGTGCCATGTGATATGGCTTCGCAACTGACATGTCAACTAAAGTACATGACGACCACAACGCCGCGAGAGTTCGCGAAAACAATTTCAACAATCCCCACAAGAACGTTGTAGGTTTACTTGATATCACCAAGAGGTTCCTGGGTGAAGGTAGACGGATGCCGCGTTTGTGGCACTCCTGGAGGACACTAGGAATATACTTTGTGAATGCTGTCGTTGCTGCCTCGAAACTGAGGTGTTTGAGCTTGTGCCTCACATAGTACCGCGCCAAGGTTTCGTTTGATGAGTGCGTCGCCAACGAATACTGTACATGCAAAATCTTATCATCGGTGTCGCCGAAGGCAGCTGGACCCTGCGAAGTTCGGTTGCTGTCCCTCTGCGCTTCCCTTCGTATAAATATCGTTCGGTCCATCTTGGTCGAGCAGCACGCTCAAGGTACTAAGTAAGATTCATGCGGTAATGATCCGACTCGGACGAGTTGGATGCTTCTTTTGCTTTGGCATACTAGTATGTGCAGCTCGATCTCGTATGCCAATGGCGTCGGCAATGTCGATGCGTGCAAATCTCGACGAGCCGTGATGAAGATTTCCCCGGTACTTGCTAGCTCCAAACGTGAAGATCCCGACCGCATCCACGCCCATGAACCTTCATTGCACACTCCCTGGTTGCCAACTGTCAGCCGGCGATTGTCATGGAATATTATCCGGAATCCGGATACCAATCTCCGCGGGGTTTTCAAATTCAAAAATTCGACAATGGTGGATATCGGCGAGCTGCATGAGATCCTCCAAGACGCGTCGATCGAGCCGCCTGCGAACGATGAAGGATTCCACCGCGACAAGAACATCCAAAAGCTTCAGACGTTGTATGACCAGACGCCATGCATGGACGACCTCCAGACAGCAATAGTCGGGGTTATGGCCGACGACCGCAAGGGGAAAATTGCTCCTGCCATTGACCGCGTGCTCGACGTCGTGAGTGCCGTGACCTACTCGACCGACGACTTGCTTGCGATAGTTGAGTTTGGCATTCGATGCAGTCAAGTGGAGGACAAGCAGATCCGTTTGCGATCGACGCAACTCCTCGCGTTGCTCCTGCAGAACATTCCCGAAATCCCGTATGCGCGTCCAGCTCCCACCTGCATTCATGGTGCTTACCTCTGCTATGTCTAGAGACAGCATTTGGGACGCACTTGTTGAATCGATGCTGATCCGTGTCCGCGATAAGATCGTGTCCATTCGAGTACAAACAATCATGGTATTGAAGCGGCTCCAACAACCCGACTTGCCCGACGACGAAGTAACGGCGGCACTGCTTCGATTGGCAGTAGTGGATACAAGCAAGTAAGTACGCTCCTTCCCTACCACTGCTCATTCACGTATGCAGGGAAGTCCGGGTGGCAGCCGTGGAGAGCGTCGCGTTGACCCAAGTGTCGGTGGGGGATCTATTGATCCGAGTGCGCGACATCAGCTATGAAGTGCGCTGCTCTGTATTTCGCGTGTTTTCCCAGGTGAACATTACAAGCATTTCCACAGAGCGGGGTTTCGTTGATCCAGTACTTCAGGCGCATGTCAAGGACATTTGCACAGCGCTTGATCGCATGTACCTCCTCGACCAAGGTCTACATGATCGCAATCCTGCCGTGATTGAAGCATGCCAAGGGATGGTGCTTCAGTGGCTTCATCAATGCCACGACAATGTGCTTGATTTTCTCCAGTATCTGGCACTGGACCACCCCGTGTGCAGCACTGTGATAACCTTTCTCTTCGACAAAGCTGGACTCTCGGACCTGCCTCAAGTCAAGAGCAAGGCGTTGCTAGGGTCAAGGCTGACCCCCATCGATTCGTTTTTCTGGAAAGAGCAGTGCATCCACTTCAAAAACGACCACGACCTCGTCGAAGAGTATTGCCCAACCCTCCCGACGTATTGCGACCTCCTACGCCATCTCCAAGAAGAACTTGTAGTGTGCATTCAAGATGCAACACTGTTGTATTGACTTTCAACGTCGTACTTGCATAGAACGAAGAAACGGCGGAGAAAGCACAAATTGTTCTCGTTGGCCGACATTTGCTTCAGCTGGGCACAGCCTTGGATTTTCAAGACGAAGTTGGCCGTCGCATGCTCATCAACGCACTGCGTAAGTCGTAGCCCTCATCAATAGCTATGACTCGGCGATTTTTACAATTGTACGTTTTACAGGGGAATCCCTGAGCGAGTGGACGTACGAACGGCAGTGGGTTCCAGACGCTGTGAGCTTGCTCGCCGTTTTGTGCGAAGAATTTGAGTTTATTCAGTACATGACGGAAATCACGAGCGACATTTACGATGCCATGCAAGAGTGCGAAAGTATGAGTCCAACTAAGCGACGCGCGATGAGCGAACGACTCGACGCTATCGACCAACGCATGGACGAAGCGGACGTACCTTCTCAAGTTCGTTGCAGTATTCTGTTGTGTACAATGATCAAACCATATTTTGCAGGAATACGATGCATTGCATGCCGAAGGAGTAGCGTTGGAAAAAGCCCTGGAAGAGCCCAAGACGCTGCGTTACTTGCGCTGTTTGGAGCTGTCGTCGAAACTTCTGCAATTTACCCGTCAAGTACAAAATTATTCTTGGATTATATCGTGCGAAATACCTTTTGCGCCATGTAGAGCTTGAAAAATGCCATGATTGCGAACATTTTGCATTTGATATTGCCTGCTGTCGACAGCGACATCCCCGCCTTGCGCGAAAAGGGTCTGGAATGCTTGGGGCTGTACTGCTTGCTGGATCGGGTAAGCATTCTTCCGTTTAAAAAATTATATTCGTTCCCACGTTTCCATCTGAATGTAGAAAATGGCACTCAACCACACAATTGTGTTTTGGCGCGTCCTCAACGCCGACGATGAAGATGGGGATTCCAAGCATACATGCATCCGGGTATGTGATTTTTGCCTCCTATTCATGGACTAAGCGTTCCTATGTAGGTATTGTTGGACTTTTTCGCAGCGTTCAAAGCGTTTGAAATTACCCCCGTGGTTCGTTTTCTCCCGGATCGCTCGTTCATTAACGTGGGCATCAGGAAGAAGACGGTGAAACGGTAACTTCGGCGTCGATTCTGGACGGCCTCGCGACGTATTTTTGCGTCAACGAACATCAATTGGACGCGTGGGACCTCCAGACGCAAACACTAGTCGTTGAAGGATTCATTAAACTGTTTCTGCTGAAGCGCATCGACGACTCGATGGTATGAAGTGTCTCCTGTTTATCGTATTTCTGCATATGGTGCAAGTTAAATGGCTATCGTGCAGAAATTGCAAGCGATGATGGAGCTGTACTTTCACCCAATTTTGCGACAAATGGTCCACTCCAACGACCACGGATTCTGCTCGGAAACTCTTCAATTGCTGAGCGTGTTTTACCCTGCACTCGCCAATCTTCAATTCGACTTGCTCATAGTGACGATTCGGTCCGTCCTTTGCAGCATTGTGTACGGCACCAGCAAAATTCCCCTCGACGAAGCCGCGCTCTACTTTCTCACCATCTTCCCAGAGTTCGTGGCTCCATTTCAATGAACTTAAGCTGAATCACTCACGCCGAAAACCCCGTAGAAAAGATCGAGCGCACGATGCGCTCAGCTTGCTATGCTGCGTTGAAATTCTAGCCATCAGCGAGCTCAAGCTTACGAAACGGGAGAAAGAAACGCTGCAAAAACCATGGTGGATTGTTTTGCAATCGCTCGAGTGGACCGACACGAACGGTCGATTGGTTGTACTGCTTGAAGAGGTTCTGAACAGCTTCAAAGCGGCCGATGCCACCAAGTTCAAGGCGCGAATGGAGCAAGTCATCCAGGCACCACCAGAACTGACGGACGAAGACACCCAATGGGTACTGTTGAACAACCGCATAAGTCGTTTTTCGGGCCATGGCTTGTCATTCAATTGCATTCATCTTGTGTTGCATGATACGAATAATTTGGTTCTGTTTAGATTTTGGCCCAAGTCGCCGAACGAAAGGACGCATTGAGCACTTTCAAGAAGAAACTCAGTCGAGCCGTGCATCGCCATGAGCTTGTGGTCCAAGAGGCCAGCGATAGGTAGGTGTCAATGTGTTTGCCGTCTTTCGCGTTGCCCCGTGTAACATTTGAAAATGCAGCGAGGCTGGCGAAGAGGAGCAAGTGATGATCAAGCGAGAGCGGTCGTCGCGACAGAGCAAGGCCTTGGCCAGTGCTAAAATCCAAACCGGTGACAGCAAGGAGGGAAGCAGTGAGGTCGAAGCAATCAGCAGCAGCAGCGAGTCAGACTTTTAACTTGGTTGCTCATTGAACCATACACGACATCACCGTTTCCACCACGGCGCAGAAGTTATTCAATGTACGATTCTCTATAGCATTTCAAAATCGAAACCACCATCGGACTGTGATCCTTGGAACGCGTTTGTCGACGTGAAAACGATGGACACGGTGAAATGCATCTCAAGAAATGCGTAAGGGTTTTCTTGTATCGGTCAACACTGTTTGCCGGCTGAACCAAATCATGTTGTTGGCACATCGAATGATGCGAACATTTCGGCAATATTTCGTGGCTTGGCAGACGATAGCTGCGTTGTATGACATGCTCCATCATTCGATCTGTCGGACCTCCCAACGTACGTGGGCCCCATTCGTGTATTTCTCCAGGACCGTTGAAAAATATTCAAGACGATGAAGGACTGTCAAACTGAGCGGATTCCAAGGAAAATACCCGTGGAAGAACGTCAAAACAATGCTCGACCAAGGTGCGTGCTTTGCTTTGTAGCGACTGCAATGGATCTGCGTTTTCACAGGTGTTTGAGATGAACCTGACGTTTTGTCTAAGTGAATGGGATCGTCGCCGGAAGGTTGCGTGGACAAGATGTCGCACGAATGCTAAATTACAAGATGTCGCTCGAATGCTGAATTCTCTGAACCGAGTGAAATCACGCACAAAGAGTGCTCGTTGTGGTCAAGAGCGATGGATGTTGCAACATGCCATCGCAAGGTTATCGTATCCAATTCCTGCCAAGAGTGGCATGCTTGACAGGTCAGTCTGAATCACAATCACGATCTTCGTCCTGCATCAGTGGGTCATTGGCATGTTTGTGATGGTTACTGCCACCGCTGCTCCATGGACCTGCCTGAAGACCCCTCCGTCGCCAACCAACGCCACGTGGCGAGTCGTCAATGCTGGAGTCCTGAACGACCAGACGAAGGGCTGCTTGTTGATCCCGTCATTGCTGGAGTTTTGGACAAGTGCGCACACGACTTTACACCTCCGATCAAGTCTTACGCCACCGCTGACACCAAGAGCCCGTCGAAGTTTGTGCGGTCAGACTCTTGCCCAACTCACAACCATGACGACTGCACCGTCAATTTCACTCAGAATGGCCGATCCGCCAAGTTGCAGAGACAAAACGACAGACTGGCGATTCTTCAAAACATACTGCAACGACAGCTTCGTCGTGCGCTTGACTCCATCTCAACTCGAGGCAGAGTGCATCTCCAACGACCAACGCACCTGCTTGGCGTTTCTCTAGACTATGTGACAGCACGAATGGTACATGCTCCATCCATTCTCGACACAATCACTTTTTCCCTGACGTGCTCCAACTTGGTGTTGCAAAGCAGAGCCACCAACGAATGGTGTGTGCGTGCTGCACTAACCATGACCCTAGCGCCGACCACAAGCGCCGCGTCGTTATCCACTACAATCAACCTTTCCATCTACATCATTGTGCCACTCAGCGTTGGCGCTCCATTCAGACTAATCTACACGAAGAAGACTCGACAACGCGCTCTTCTGGTCGATCCTCCTTCTGCTGGCGATCAATGTCGCCGGCATCGAAATTCGGCCGCCGATTGTTGCTTCTGAAGCAAGCAAGCAAACGCCACGCTGTCATCATGGGCATCGGGACACCTTCATTCACTGGCACCTCGATGAAACCGAGCTCGAATGCACATGCACACTGCACATGTCGGCGACGACAATCGTGTTCCGCGCGTGACACCAGGAAACATCGTGGTCGTCAAGTGACCTCTCGGATGCGACCGATGTCTCGCCATCATGCAAGCGCTTGAAATGTGAAATCGAGCACATGATTCGATACGTGAATGTATATGCGCTTGTCCACGAATTCCCATGCCCTTTTTTGTTTCATGTTCGGTTCCATTCATGACAAAGCTTTTGCATATGCAAATGGAGCACCTTTTGTACTGCTCGACTGGTTTGACGTGGTTGCTTGAGCCGACGTGACGGCAAAACGAGCGTGATACCAATTGCGCATGATGTCGTCTTGGTTCCTTTCCGTCCGGCCAGCGGTTTCTCAATGTTAGACGTGTGTAAAATTCAGCGTGCATCCGCCCCAAGTTATTCAAGCATATCGTACCTGCACCTGTGAAACCTGTCGTTCGTGCTGGAATACATGAAGTCCAAACTGAGTTACAAACGTATCTATCCACGACGAAGTCGACGCCGTCAATGTTTCCGTGGGCTCAAAAGCTGTCGACAGTCTGGGACATTGCGCAGGGCCGCATGCACATCCACGCGTTGGGCGTCATTCGAAGTCGGAACGCATCGTGCTTTCCCACGACCTCCGCGCCAAGTTTGACTGGAATTGGCGTCGCTTACCTGCTATCTCGATGACTCCAAGCACCGCGTCTTTGCAGTGAAGTGCTGATGGGGTGGGCGAGACTGTGCGAAAGCAAATTTGTACAGCTTGACATCGTGCTGAGTGAACTCGATTCAGCTCCATACAATTTTTAGCTCCTTATGACGACACGCACCAGCCCCCCCATGAACAAGCCGTCAGCGGCATGGTGCACTAGCGACCGTCGCAACGATGCGATATTCAAACGGACAGCAGCAACCCTCGCGCATACTCACGGGTCGGGCTCACCAAGTCCCCAGCCGCGTCTGCCAAGCCATCCAAACGGTCCAGGTCAAATCCTCCCTTTGATGGCCGAAGGGCATTGAGCTACAAACTGCGTCAAAAGGATATCGTTCATGGCGAATTTGCCTCGTTCGACCCGGCGACTAAATGCGCTGTAAAGATGTTTGTGCAACCAAACGGCTCACAGTCGCATGCAAGCCAACTCGAGACGTGTTTCAATACATAGTCAATGTAATAATTCTCGATCTTGCTGAGGAATCGGCGAGTTGTACCATGGCACGTTGTTCGAGCGCTTTGTGCAGCACGGGGGAACGGATGGTGTGTTTCAAAACAGCGGGCGCGGCGAATGCGGGGGCGCCGGGATCGTTGCGCCACTTGTTTGATTTCGTACGCCAAGCAGCCTAGCAAGGTCGTCTTGAAGTGTCGTCGAGACGAATCGTGGCTACGAAAGCGTCCGCCAACGCGTCGCGAGCTGGACAACTGGGGTTTCCACCGCTGGGCATTCAACCCACAGATCCTCTTCAAACGCACCCGACGTGGCCTCGATACATCCACGACTGCCGACGCGCTCACAACACATTCGGTTCGTGGTTTTTACCGCCACACGCCTTTGCCATGACCATGGTCCATTTTAATCCAACCGCAGCATCCTTCGAGCCGTCCATCCGTGCACCGCTGCTGACTGACCGATGGACATCCTGTAGCGCGCCGCGTCCATGAAATTTTTCCGTGCCATCCACCCCCGCTCACAATCGATGGCTGCACCCACTGCCGCGTGACAAGCGCATGTCAAAAATCGCCACTTGTTTTATCTTGTTTTTTGTATGGTGGCTTCGTCAAAGATGGGCTACGTGCCCTTTCCTGATCGGTGGCCAGTCTCTACAATGACCTGAACCAGACGACAACGTGTCGACCATTTGACCGAATTGCCGTTGCTGCAATACCTTGATGAGCTCGTGGGCTTGTGTCGAAGTGGACACTGGCCTGTGGGCCATCTTCCGCGTGGCCATGCCTTCCGGCGCAACAGTCGAGTGCGGCTCCAATGACGGCGTCGACTGCGTTTGGTTCACCACTGGCTCGTGTAACCAGTCCTCGTATACTCAATCCATAGCGTGTTCTGCCATCAAGCAAGTAAGCCAACTGCCTTTGGACAACTCGACAGCACTATGCTCGACACTACTTGGCAAAGTCACCGCGGCTACGGCGTCGCCAACTCCCAATGGTACGTACACGCTGGTCAAGTAGTCGATGGATTGTCACTCGGAGTGGTGCCAGCTACCCTCGAGGCGGTCGGGTACATCGTCCTGACTGTGGGGGCGCTTTTCTTGTTGGGGAGTTTGGTGTATGTGATGCGGTACCGGAAGCGCAACGTCGCTTTCGAGCACAACCACTTTATGTGGGCGGAAACGTTCAAGTCTGCCGTCATGGTGGCCATGAGTCCGATGGTTAAAACGAGCAACATGACGCCTGTGGACGTCATCTTAACGGTAGGCATGTCGTTGCATGCAAGTTTTCATGCCAAATGTGTGCAGGACGAAGGTCGCGATGCGCAAGCATCCGTGATGGATGCGTTTTCCCTGTGGAAACTCGAGCACAACCTGCTCAAGCTCACCTCGATGTTGTCCGAGTCGGACGATAAGCAAGTGTGGCGAGGCTTGTACGACGACGAAGTTGTCGCGGTCAAGAAGCTGCGGCTCCACGCAACGACCGGGCCGTCGTGGGTGAAATTCGTAAACGAGATTCAACTCATGATGCGGTGTGACAGGTCCCTCAGTCGTACGCCGATCGCTGACGACGCAAGCGTAGGTTTGACTCGCCGCACATTATTGCCATGTACGGGGTGGTCTGGTCGATCCCGGACGACAACAACATCCAGCTCGTGTTTGAATTCATGGACGGAGGTGCGTGTTTACGTCCTGCCATCGCGTGACGCCGTGAGAACCAGGCAACTTGAGAGACTACCTTGCCCAAACACGGCACCGCAGCGTTGAAATGTGGGGCGAGAAGCTGCGCTATGCCATGCATTTGATTGAAGCGCTCGTGTGCTTACACGACTCGAGTGTCATTCACCGAGACGTCAAGTCGAAGCATGTTCTGCTCAACAGCGCGGGCGACGCCAAGCTGACTGATTTTGGCTGGTCTCGCGAGTTGGACTTGCAAGTGCTGATGACCCAAGGCGCGGGATCTTTTCGTTGGACCGCTCCCGAGATTCTCGGTGCGTTCGCGGTCCTTTGACTTCGTGGGACCGACAGCGCTTGCTTGTAGAGGGCAACCAGTACACCGTCGCTGCCGACATTTACTCGTTCGGGATGGTCTGTTACGAACTGGACGCGCATCAAATCCCTTACGCTACATCCATGCGGTCGAATACGGTCAAGCCGCTCAATGAGTTTGAAATTATTCATGGAGTTCGCGCGCAGCAACTCAAAGTCGAATTCGAAATCGGTTGTCCAGTTGCCGACCTCGCCAGTCGGTGCTTGCAGTTCGACCCAGCAAACCGACCCACCGCTGCTCAAGTCCTGCAGTGGTTGCTGGAACTGCAATAAACTTATTATGCCCGCAACCTTAGTCGTCGTGCCGACCAGCCGAACGCAGATCTGATGGCCAGACGGATTCGGGCCGACCACGCCGACGTAGTGCAAACTGGCGAGCTCTAAGCAAAGTTCGCTGGCAGCACTCGTTTCATGGCGGCTACGACAACTGCAGTCCTCGATAATTCATGCGACTCCAGCAACCCCTACGCTAGTGGTGCCAGCACTACTACCTCGCTCAAAGAGATGTTGCGTTGGTGACACTGCCAATAACCTTTACACAATTGTCGCAACTCACTTGGTACTAGCTTTGACGAGTGAACATCCTTGGTTGTTAGCCGCACAGCCGCTGCAGATGCTGTAATCCAAGGTGTGATGTGGACCTACCACATGATAGCCAAGTTCAAGTTACAGACCCAGATCGCGTTGAGAAAATTGTCCACCGACCGAGTCTCTATATTGTTCATGGGCGCAATGATCTGAAACAATTCGATTCGTGCACCATGTCTCCAGCCTCAAACCCCTCAGGCAAAGCATCACTATCCGCGACACATCTTTCACGCTTTTCTCAGCTCGTTACCGAGACGACCGTGCGATCTCGTTGTCCCGATGCGTCGTGACGATCGGGGTGCGTCGCACACTCCAACTCATTCGACATACGCTGCGAGTCATGGTCTCTTGACTCGACGCTGCAACAAATGGCGTGGTGCCTCGAATCCTTGCAAATTCGTTGTAGCGAGGAGCCGGGCGTCGCGAGCCCCCGCCGAGGAGCCCACAGAATCCCACCTGGTTGCGCTGACATGATGCAGTCAAATGCCCGACAATTCGCTGTGCCTGGTGCACCATCCCCGCTACGCGCAAACGGGAGGCACGGAGCCACTAGGCACCGCTGGTTTCACCCTGTCTCTGAAATGGAGCAATGTGTTGAACCACATCGACGTGAAATATTTGTTCCACGTTGTGTTGGCGAAACGGACAGCTTGTTCGCGAGTTCTAGGTTAGCATGGGGGAGGAGAAGGATGTTGATTTGCCAGGACCAAGCAAAGGCAATTCTCCTTGGCAAATCGCGTGCAGCCGTCGCAGCCTGTGGTCATGCCGTATGGTTAGTCCAGTTGATTCGAGAAGATGGAAAAAATTTTATTTGCGATTGTGTTTCTAGTGTGCCGACGTTCGATGTGGGAATAGTTGTGACAAGGGAGCTGCCTGCAGTACGTGGGCGAGTTTTCCCTGTACATAATACGGCATGGGCTGCGATCGGTCACAGTGATAATTACGTCTACTATTGCGCGCGCTCTCGACTTACAAACTCGATACAACAAGATGCTTTTGCAGCTTCTCTGATGAACCTACGGACTTCCTGCCGGCATTCCCCCACCTCATCGTGGTACTACTACTCCATGCGACCAACGGATCGGTGGTTGTCGCGCCTCTGCCATACATATATCTAAATTTGGGACGCTCCCAGCGGGATATGGCGACATGCCTGATGGAAGTGGGACGATTCCGCCTGTCGACATGTCAGCAAAGCCAACATACCTAGGTACCTCCACGCCTCTGACTTGGACAGGGCGTGCAGAGGCCATCCATTGACATCCATCCGTCCCACCTCAAGGATACGACCGGCCTCTGCGCCGGTCGAAATAGCAACTCAGCATCACCCTGAATAGCAGAGAGCGTCGAGATCTATGCCTCGTGTTGTTTCGTTCTGGATGGAGATTCCATCCGACACATCCCTGACCGAGACACTATACCTTACCTACGAATAGGTGAGATCGCATACTTCGTCATGAAAACACATTCGACATCACTGGTCAATTCGTGTTGTATGTTGTTTTCTTCCACGTCACACACTCATCAAGTCCAATGGGCAGCCCCGTTCTTCCTGTCCTGTTTATGTACTTCCGAAGCCGTGGTCTCTGTGAGCCAAGCGGCGCACGGCATGCCAAGACAAAGCAGCGGCATTGACTAGAGTGACCCATTCAAATGATTCGCGAGCACCGCTGGACCCGAAAAAATATATATACCTAACCCGCATTCACATGCAAATACGAGATTGCACTCCTGCCCAAAATGAGCTGCGACTTCGGACAAATCAGCGGGATACACTGTTGCTGTGCCCGTGACAGGATAAAATGCCCACATGCGTATGAGTGTGAAAGAAGGAGAACGCTCGATGGCGTTTTCCACGACGACTTTCGACGATGACAATGCCACCCCCACCCTGACGGCACGAGCGGAAACCAACATCGACTACACTGGCAAGATTGGGACCATCGTGGAGCGCAAAGCATGTTGAGTTTTTGATGCTGCTCCTTGGCGTGTTCCAAACCATGCTAGGTTGGAGGGCAAGTGAGCTTGAGAGCACACGTCGCACACACGAAGTCGAGAACAACGTGGGCGAGTGGGAAGACGGACTCCGAATAATGAAACGTGAACACGAGGCTTATGTTTGGATGAGTTAGGATGAGATCTCGCCCTTGAAATGCTTGACACAACGCCCTCGAACGCGTGCAAAGTCTTCACAGCTGCTCACCCGGCACTTGGAGCCACCCCCATGTAGCCTGCAGAGGCCTACCGTTTGGGCATTTGTGGAGCACGACTCAACAGAACACTTTCGACCGCCTCCATGTCTAGTACAAAAGCCTTTTCGTCGAGCAAAGGAGCCACAGTTGGGAGCTTTGCACCGTCGACTCCGTGTCTCGGCCTTCCCAGTCGCAGAGTCTGGAGTCGCCGGCGTTGGGAAGTGTTGGAATAACTCTCGATCGTGGAAAAGGCAATACGACTCGATTTTGGCAAAGCGAGGACAGAGCGCAATCGCACACGGCTGCCTGAATGGGTCGATATTCCAACTTGGATCAGGAAGGCGGTGGTGGAATGTGCTCAAGGCTGGCAACGTGGCAACTTGCATGGCTTTGAGTAGGTCGGCACCAAATGAATTATGTCGCACGACGTCCACACCACGACCCCGACATCTGGCCTTCATGCAAAATTCTGTTCGGCGTTTTTCGCACATTTGTTGTACCTTCGTCTCGATACACCTCCTCGACAAATACGAACAGTACCATGTCGAACTCACGAAGGATCGAGTGCAAGGTGTACAAGTCAGGAATCGCAAGGCGCAACTCGGTCTACTCTGTCGCTGCGGACAGGGCAACCCCGGTGAACCTTGCCGTCGATGCATACGCTCGTACACATGTCGCAAGAGCACGTTAAAGAAACTCGTTTACGGAGACATCCGCCCCCACCTTACCGACGAGGCACTGACGCAAGCAAACGTTGGAATTGCTGGTCGACTGTCGCTGGGAGCATGCCCGACACCACTTGACACTTGAATACATGTAAAAGAGCACCGCAGCGACAGAAAGGCAGTCTTCGGAATCGTGTTCCTCCACGGGGTACATGTGAAAGAGAGGACTGCGCATACACACGACCGAGCGAGTGGTTTCCGGTCCACGGGACAAGGGTCGTAATATTTCGGAGTGGCATTTTTTCCCGACCTGACTGACTCGTCAAAACCCCATTTGTGCTCGAGGGTGTACGCTTCCAGTGCGACGCATGTGCACACATCATGGATGGTTACACCAAAAAGGACACGATAGCTCTTTGTGCATTGCAATACGAGCCTTGTCCAAGTGCTCCGAATCACGTCGTCGATCGAAATAGGACAAAAGTGAACAAGACGTGATGTCCCACATGATTCCAAGTGAAAAGAAGGTAGTTGTAGCAGAAGTTTGTTGAATTCGACAGGCGCGCTGGAACGTCAGATTGGTCAGCCATGGGAAACACCACCGTCCCACCTGAGGGCAACTTCGCCACCATATTCCCGATTATGCATTTTCATGTGTACCGACCGCACAAACGTCTACGCTGCGATTGCGCGAACGTTTGCCCTGTCTAGGCCCCGTCCTTTGCATCCTCTTGGTTATTGGTGGTGGTTCGCCACCCCCATGTGGCTCAGCCGAGTCATTGTCCACGTTGTATCCGCTGCATATCCCCTGGGCGCAGTCTCTATGTTGTACGGAAGAAAGGGCTTTGATGCACGCCGCGTTGGAAGGGTATTTGTTCGAAGTCAATGCGCACAACCATCGGATCGATGCAACCGAGGGGGAATTGCCTTGAGGGAGAACAATAGGCTCACCTCCCCGAGGTCTTCAGCCCTCCAGCCATTCCATTACACAGCGCTAGGACGCCAGGGGTGGCCAGAGAGCCCGACACGCAGACACAGAACCGCAATTCTCAAGAACTCGGACGTACAAGTTTTTAGGGTGGCATCCTCCTGTTGTACTTGCTACGGCATCCCTGTCCGTCGATTCTGATATATAATTCGCTGACCACATTCGTGTGGTCACGCCGACATGCATACATACTGATTGACTCTTCGATCCCGCAGAAGAGCTTCCTTCCTTCACATGCCCTCTTTGAACCTTCACGGGAATTCCTTGAGGAGCTTTGTCCGGTTCAAAAGTCGTTTTCACACGGCCGAGTAGCTATTTAGCTGCACTGGAAAAACATCGTTTGAGGTTCCAGCGCGTCGGGATTCCTTGGGAGGCGAGGCAGCCCGACGGAGCACGCAACGCAGAAACCAGAAGTCCGCCCGGTTCAACAGAACAACTGTGTTCGGCCACGCGCCTGTGAGCCGTCCGTCGACTTAGCTGCTCTGCATATCGCATCGCGTCCGACTTGCACATCATGAACACAATGTATTGACTCGTTAAATACTACACCCGCCAACGTCCGTTGGCTTGGTTAAGCGGCCTTGCGGGAACGACTGTGGGGCAAGCACATGCCCTGCGCCCGAGCAAATTGGTCGCAGTTTTCAACTTTGCACTTGGAACCCCCGCCATGAATTCGGCAATAGCCCCCAGTCTGTGAAGCCGTCGTACATCCTTCAGCTTTGCACTTTCGACCACCGCCGTGGCGTGTGCAAAACCCGCCACTCCGGGCAAACGAGCCGCATTGATCCACTTGACATTTCTTGTTGCGGCGCTTGGGTGCACTGCTGCTGTTGGCAGGGGAGGTGGTTAAGGTTGAAGGGACACTCTGGCGGGCGTGCACGAGGCAGACGTAGTGGAGCTTAGCAAAATGAGAGCAGCCAGGGATCGCGCATCGCTGGAGGGAATGGGCATGGTTGTCCTTGCAGGGAGGCATTGGCGTCGAGTACTCGAAGCCATGGGCCTGCGACGAGAGGCGCGTGAGCGGGGGCAAGAAAACCATTGCGATAGCTTGTTCAAATTGAAAAGTGGACTCATCTGGGTTGCAGCGCTTCTGGTTTTGGGTGCCGATTATTTGTAGCATGTCGCAGTATGAATTGGTACAACCATGTGGCTTCGTGTCCTCTACGGCGAGTCAGCTGTCCGTTCGCTTTGTTTCGTTCAGGGTCCAGTCAGCTCGCGTCGACGGCTAGAGAAGGCTAGAGGGGGCTCTTTTCTTCGCGACTACCGAATGTTAGGATTTCCGAGGCCGCACAGACTGTGGGGTGGGTGATAGCACGAAAGCAGCGGTACTCAGCTGCGTTGGGTAACCAGATCGACGGGTGTGTATGGTGCGATGCACTAGTTCATTACGCAACCACGTATGTCGTCTCGCCATCTGACCACAGTGTGCGGACCGTGTCAATTTCGTTCTGACCGCATACGATCGATCGTTCTGTCAACTGACGGACCGTGTGTCGCGGAGCCGTGACGGCGAACTTGTGCATTTCACGACAGCCACCAGTTCTGTGTTTCTCGCAACGTACACCGTAAAGGCCACAGGGGCTGAAACACCACGTGGATCGTGGAACCATCACACCGGATGATCTGTCTGGAGGGGGATCGGGCGGCAAAACGAATCGTTGCTCATTGCATCCTACATGGTTCGCCGAGCCGCTGGGAGGAGGACTTGTGCGCATTGCCTGTCGATCGGCCCTCCCCTCATACGGCGGACGGCAGACCCCCCCCTCTGATTTCCATTTACATGGAGTTCGGCCATGCTAAGAACCCGACAACCTCCCTCAAGTCCTCGGAGGGGCCTGTTCTGTTGGTGCGGTCTCGTTTGCTCACTTAACGCTGGGTGCTGTGGTATCGCATAGTGGCACGATGGTCCTCGGCGCACCAGGCACAACGGATGTTGCGACTGGTGTACGTACACGATGAGCCGTGCGTAGGGATCATCTGAGCATGTGTTGCTCTAGCGGTGGAGCGCACCGTACAGACTCACGTGACGTTATCGATGTCAAACTTATGCCGCCTCCGCCTGACCCGGAGTTAGAATGATGCGGAAAGAAAGGTTGCGTAAACTGACACGGGTGTTTTCACAACTGCGCCGTCCATGCTGGCCACGATACACAGCGTGGATGTTGCGCTGGAACTGTGGTGCTGGTCTTATACATTGCTCGGCGCCAACGACCTGCACTGGCCCTCGCTCAACCGCATGGGGTTTGCCGACTTCTTCATTGACCTCATCAAAGTCAAGTTGCTCACGATCCAGAACCACACGTTCAGCTTGCTCATGGTTGAAGGACCATTGGCCAAGAATTAACACACACACGGTATCGTACAAGGGACTTTCGATCGGCGTCGTACACGCAGCTAGTGTACTACACGGAGCTCCATACCCTGCCCCACGCCGTCCGACACCTGCGAGCACGTGAATTCACTACGGCTGGGTCGATATCGATCGCTGGTGGGAGCTCGACCTCACGCATGCCAGAGATACACGTTGTTTGTCCTAGTACCAAGGGATCACAGCCAAGTACAGTCCGAAACTACGCTCCGAAACACAAACTAGGCGACGTAAACTGCCACGATTCTTGGATCACTCCGATTGAATTGGCGCTACCGGCCTAGCCAAGCCAAGAAAAAGTCCATTTCTGCCGAAGTCCTGAATCTGGAGTCGCATACCTTGCCGGGAACGATTTTCGACCATTGCGTAAAATTGAAGGTCAAAACGAATTCCAACAAGCTGTTGGTGGCCCTTCCCCCGTGCTTGGTGGGCCCGTGCGAGCAGTTCGTTGTGTTCTGAATTTGCCCTACTTGACGTGATTTAGAAGTCGAACCTGCCGAATTTTCTCGGGGGTCATAGCTTTACGTAATGTGGAGGTAACCATCACGGCAAGTGCGCCCGACCACCCCAATGGATCCATTATTCGATGACTGACAATCTTCGAATGCATTAGAGCAGCAACAAGGCGTGCAATTGGAAGGCGACATTTCGAACGTCTACATGATATCCGATGTGAACCCACTATTCGATTGCCCCTGAGCAGCCAAACGCAAGGACTTCTAAGTGGCCGCCAAATTGTTCATTTATGGAGTTGGCATCGAGCGGGCCATCGGAATTCGAGAGGTCGTGAATTCCAAGGACGTCACAGTTCGATCAACCTCGTGACCGACTGTTCGTTAGACATGCAGGTTACGTTTGCCACGTAGGGGCCTTGACTAGTATTGACGTGCGTGGCACGGGTGGTCCATCGGTCGCGCTCAACCCAAGGTGCAAGTAGTGTGACAAAAAAAAATGGATGTTACGTTACTCGACGTGAATCTCATGGATCGCGTCCGCGTTTTGAATGGCCTTTTGACAATTCGACGGTGGTGCAACGCGAGCTACGTGGTCGACATCATGCTGTGACGCAGGTTCTCAATCGACCTCGACGATGACTACCCCCTCGCATTGCCAGCGCCGTCCCTTTCGCGGACTATGTAATACAACCTCTGTCC